GAAGAGGGGGGGGGGAACGGCGAGGTCGCGAGGGAGATGGGGGTCTAGAGAGGGCAGAAAATGCCGGCGGCGGGAGGGCTTGGATGTTTTGAGCAAAGGGCGTCGCAAGCCGCCAAGGAGCGCGGAGTCTAAGGCGTTAAGTGGTGAAGTAGGCCGGCGACGGGACCACGGCAGGGCCCTCGCGACAGCCAAGGCCATACGCCGGCTTGATCGGAAGATCTGCAACACTCGCCGCGCCCGCGAGTCGAGGGGCCTGGACTGGATGCTTGTTGTCTGCGGTCTGCGGGCGCGCATGTGGGCGTGGGCGAGTGGGTGAGGGCGCGGGCGGGCGGGCGGGCGAGCAAGGGCGAGGGCATGGTGCACAAGCACAATGAAAGGCCTGCTGCACCGTCCATGGGGGAGTGCATCTGGTAGAGTAGTAGTATATTGTACAGTGTGGTAGTGCGCGCGACCGCCCACAAAACAATGACGACGACGTGGACCGGGGGGGGCTGGCACACGGGCACACTCTGCACTCACATCAGATCAGACGGGCGTGGCAGCACGAGAGAGATGGAGAGAGAGAGAGAGAGAGAGAGAGAGAGAGAGAGAGAGAGAGAGAGAGAGAGAGAGAGGCGTGGTGTGTGCGCTGCAGACAAGAAACACCAAGCCCTGTCAGCCCGCCCTTGTTCGCTGGACCCCCAAGACACGACAAGAAAAGACTACATGTATGTCCCAACACGGAGACGGGCTGGATTGGGCTTCGCTTCGCCGCACGCCGCGCCACAGCCGCCTCGAAACATGGCCAAACACGTCCGCCATGACCGCCATGACCATCACCATCGCTACTGCTACATGGTGTACTTGGACATGCTCGGCCGCCACACCGAACCCCTCGCTTGTACCCGTCGCACGGCAGACCGCTCGCCGCTAATGTCCGTGTATCTACCGCTACTGTAGAGTAAGTATGTACCGTTTCTTTCCCCGCCCGCAAGCGTTGCTCTGTTGGTTCGCTCGTGTGCTCGCAACCATGTACTATAATACTAGCACCGATATCCTATGTAAGAAAAGGTTTGGCCCTGGAAACCCACACCCAATGCCCGCCGGCCCGCTTACACCTGCTGTGTACAGACATGGACATGCCCATGGCTGAATTCAATACATGCATCCATGACTCGCCGCCGCCGTGTGAGCATCGGCGCGCTTCGGGCAGAAAGTGAAAGCCTGCATGACGACATTCACAGCTTATTCCACCTTTATACGCCCACGCCCATGATTGGCATCCAGCTCCATCCCATCCATGTACGCGCACGGCCCCGGGATAATACCACTATTCCCACAATGTACCCGTAGACGTCGGTCCATGGATTCAACATTAAAGCCGCCATGCTAACTCTGCACAGCGAGTCCGCCTCTACATACACACACGGGGGTATCACGACCAAAATAAAACCAAACACATGCCAATCCAATCCCTTCATGATGCAAGCTCCGCCACAGCCCCTAGGAAAGACTGCCACATGGACAGCCGCTCCTCAACCGCCTGCTCGGCTGCCGCCAAGCGCCGCTGCTCCTCCCCCTCGGCCTCCCACGCTAACACGGCCTCCTTTTCGTCGCGAATCCCCACGTCCGTCGGGGCCAGCGCTGCCGCTTCTTCAATCATCGTCACCGCCTTGACCCTGCTGCCCGGCTCACCCATCAGCCTCAGGCATCGTGCATGGCGGAACAGCATCTTAGCCGACTGCTCGTTGCTAGGCGCCCACGTAGCCCCCGCGTGCTGTGCAAATCGCGCACTCGCAGTCTCGCACTTGCGCAGGTGCTGAATCGCCACGCGTCCGTTGCCGCCCACCAGTGCTCCCTCTCGCCACTCGTCGTTGGCCATGTCCATCTGCAGAAACTGCGCGTGCAGCAGGTTGAGCGTAAAGTAGAGATCCGCAATCTTGTTCACAAACTCCTGCCCGCCCGCCTTCTGCAGTCCGGCCCATGACGAGCTGTGCCGCATGCGCTCCAGCGTCCGCAGCGCGTATGCCCACGACCCCGACGCTGCGTACACGTTGTTCTGCTGCCATTGGCGCTTGCCAACGTCTACACCCGTGCCAATCTCCTCAATCGTCGCCTTGGCTTCTGTCCACCGCGGCCTCGCCACCTCGGCCTTGACTGCCTCGGCCAGGCCACTGTCAACACGCCCAACAATCTGAAGCTTTGGCACCCCACGCAAAGACGCTGCAATCGGCTGCAAAAGCCCTTCCTGCATCTTGGGCGAAAAGAAGCGCGTTTGGGCGTAGTTGAGTCGGATCGACGCTTGCATCGAGACATGCTCGCTCGTCGTCGAGTTGGCATCAGACATGACCGTCTCAATGTCCAGCTGCTCCAACAGCTTGGGCAAGTCGGACCGCAGCATCATGATTTCATATTCGGAAAACTGGAATACCGACCGCACAAAGGCTGGCTTGGACAGCGTCATATGCATCACATGGCCGTCAAACAAGCTGACCTTGCGAGCATCCGTGGTAATGACGGGAATCCCATCGCCGAGGAAGAGATTCCGCACGTCCATGCCTCGGCACGTGATGCGTACAAACTGGTTGCGCTTGATCATGTAGTCCGACGCTTCGGCATGCACTTGCTTGTTGGCGCGGAGAAGGGCTGGCGACGGGTTGCTTGGGACGCGCCGGCTGAGGTTGCTGATGATGCGTGGGTCATGCTCGAGCTCATCGTCCCACGAACAGAGCAGCACGTCATAAATGTTGTTGCGGATCTCGCCAGGCAGGTCCAGAAAGCGGAAGGGCTGAAACGACGACATGATGGCGACGGTTGTGGCTGTGGCTGTGGCTGTGGCTGTGGCTGTAGCTGTGGTTGTGGCTAGGTGGCTAGGTATAGGCTCCTTGGTAAATGGGAATGGTAATGGTGGGTGCTGGGCGATGGGCGCTGGTAGTGGCAAGGCGTGGCGAGTTGGGATGGACAATTGCTTGGGAACTTGTCGAGACTCGGTTTGTCGCAAGGAGTGAGTCTAATGTTGTTGCGGTGGTAGTGTCGCAAGGGATGGGAAGCGGCAAGGCAAAGACGTCGCTTAGCACGTGTCGCGAGGGTATAGAACGGCAGTCAATAACAACAGATGGGGAGTGTCGCGGTGGAAGTTTGTCGCTTAGGAAGAGTTGAGGCCAGGGTGTCGAGTTGCATATATACTTAGCGCGTACAATGGCCTTTGTTGAAGAGAAGAAGAAGAAGAAGAAAAGAAGCGGTAAGAGGATGGATTGAATTGTGTGCCCCGGATTCGCAATCCGAAGGGAAATTTTCGTGGTCCAGTCTCAGACGTGCAGGGACCAAGACTGCAAAATTGACTCGCGGCTTTCTCTTGGGAAACTCGGGGACCACGAGCTTACTTTATGTGGCGGTCGAGTCTTTTGCAGGGTGCAGAGTGGGCCCGCCGTGTGCTGGAGCGTCGCGGATGAAGGCTGTTTTGTTCCTCGGGCGGATCCGTGAGCCTGCGGTGCGGAGAAGAGAGTAGGATGCGAAAGCCAGCGGCTGCACAGTGATGTCGTTGTAGGTTGCGCTAGCCCGTGTTGGGCCGTAGCGCGCTGGCTTTCCCGCGCGTCCCCCTTTGGCCCTCCCCGTCGGAAAACTGCGTGCCGGCGCGCCGAGGCACTTGGACGCCGGTCTTTGTTCGAACAGAGCTCGGGGTCCACGGGACTTTATTCGGATTCCGTCCGCCATCTGGGAATGAATACTTGAACACACGCCCAGCCACGTCCTAATGGCCTCCTACCCCCAACACCTACGCCCCTTCGTGTTCGACCGCCCCCCCCCCGCAACCTCACGCGAACGGCTCACCACGCCAAGCGAATCCCGATTCTGGGCCCGCGTCCTCAGGCATGAGGTGAAATGCAAAATGCAGCAGACACGGCTGAGAGGACGGCATGCAGACGCGGGCATGGACAACCCCCTCACCATCACAAGATAACACACTCGTCGCCCACTGCTGGTCGAGCACTGCAAACACCAAGACTGCAACCCTCAACCGCCTGTGCCGCTTGAGCCTAGCGTACCAGCGCGCGCCTTGTCATCTGCACACGCCAACTGGGATTGTGGGGGAACACGAATGCGAATGTGCCCAATACCGGCCTGCATTGGATGGCGAAGCTGGCAGCCCCATGAGGAGACGTTGTCGAAAAGCGCTCATGTCATGCGCTCAGACATGGTTTGGTCGTTGCCAAGCTGTTTCCGGTGCACACGTCACGTGATGGCGGTTACGACGCTCAGTGACGTACGCTGGTTTCCCATGCATGGTACAACCACAACCGACAAAGCATACCGGCGCTGACACCTGCGAGCATCCTTTTGTCTTATCGTGGGCCAGGGTCAAAGCCAGGGTCTGGGTCAGCGTCACCGTGACAGGTCCCTGCATTGATAGCGGCGCTGTGCTCGGTGATCATCGTCGGGTTACAGGCCAGCTTGCCAGCTGCCAGTGCCATCTACACCGACCATACGGCGACGTTTGGGAAAAGAGAGCGTCTGACTGGCCCGCCTCTATTGCAAACTCCTGCCCTAGGTACACTGCACCGACTTCTTCCTGCTTTTTTTCCTCCTGCTCGCCTCTGTCCTCTCCATCTCCTCCAGCCATAATCTCCCGCTGTCTTCAAGGTCATCAATCGTCCGCTCCCTTATCAGCCTTCTATACGCTTCGTTGACCAACAAGTCAAATTCATGCCCGAAACCAGATATTCCAAAACCACTAAGTGAAAATCTGACACAGCTCAGCGGTACCAGGTTGTGACCGTGCAACCAGCGTCTCATGGTGTTCAACCACCTCGCTACAACACTCTTTTCGCCTACGCCTTCCACCCAGCAATTCGCAATCTTATACACCTCGTCCGTTGGTTGCAGAAACTCGTGAACTGGAGGCTCCGGATGCCATTTGGCCTCCAGCAAAACCAGCCTGGGGAAATACTCGGTCAAGGTATGCGCGTCTCTGAGAATCTCCAGAAACGTCTCTCCGGCAGTGTTGTGCTTGGCATGCATTCCCATACGAGAACGCAATGGGCCATATGGCCGAGTGATGACATCGCGGTACGTGTAGCGCACCCAAGTCAAGTTCCTCGCCACTCGATCGGGGAACACGCGAAGCAGCCCCGTCAGCGGCTTCAGACTCTCTTCTCGAGAGCTGTAGCTTGTTGATAGCACGATAGTATTGGTGAGATATAGCATCTTTGACGCTTCGGCATAGACTTGCTTGGACACAACAAGTAGGTTTGCGATCTCGTCGCTCTTTGTTTTCTGTTCCCAAAAACTCTGGTCGGCATGGGCCGTGTAGTATATCCCTGTCGGGCGATGCAGGTAATAATAGTATATCACATCTCGCAGCTCCCGGGGAAGATGGAACAGCCCGAATGAGCCTGTCCATCGCGGAAGGGTGTCGGAACAAGAGGATGTAGTAGATTCAGTATGCGACTTGCGTCGCCGGGTGACGACAAGCGGGCCAAACGCTTCTTGAAGTTCGGAAATGCATGATGCTTCTGCTGGAGTAGTCGGGAGTTGTTCTTCCATGACCGCCATCTCTGCGTGGCAATCTGGTCATGTGTCGTGTGCGTCTGCCATGATGCTTGGAAAAGAGTAGACGGGCGCTGAGAGTGAGGATGTTGACCGTACAGCATTGATTGTCGTTCTACTTGTAGGCCCCCAGCCACATTGACTCACGGCCTCTCTGCGCGTATTGAGTTTGGCTTGTCTTGTCTTGACACACCGGTAATATATGCTATTGGTCAATTAATGGGCACTTTCATGCGATCAATGCTTGCACTCGTATAGCCCAGAGTCATTCGATACTTGGGCTTGTCTGTGCCACTTAGTAGAAAGACTATACTTAGAAGCTGTCATGTGTTGACGTAATGCGGCAATGGGGCGACTGAAGCGTCATAGTCGGAGTCTCCATTGCCAGCTGCCCATTTTGAGCATCACGATAGTAATCGTGGTTAGTCAGGCTGAACAAAGCTTGATTTCCGACTTTACTGGTGTGCCGGCATGGTGCTGATGCCGGAATGTCGCGATGCGCGTGGGAGGGGCGGGACGGAGTGAGGCGTCTGTCAGCCGTGGCTCCGGCCAGCCGAAGAAGCACTGACGTCCAAGGTTCGCAAAACCTCCGCAGCTCTCCCAATCCCAAACTTCTGCCAACACTCCCTCAGCCCACCCAAGTCTCCATCTCCTCACACCTTGTACCCCATTCATCATGTTCGCTGCTAGGCAAGCTTTCACCCAGGCCCAGCGCCGCTGCTTCTCGGCCTCGGCCCGCCAGGTACGGCTTCCAAGCGCAGCTGCGACTGCTTTTCTTGGTGGGGCGGCTGAACGCTTTCGCTGCTTCGCAATTGGCATCGCCATTCAACGCAATACTGACTGAAACGGCTGCAGAACTCCAAGGTCACTGTCCTCGGTGCTGCTGGTGGTATTGGCCAGCCATTGTCGCTGCTGCTGAAGCTCAACCCCAGGGTTAACAGGCTCGCGCTCTACGACATCCGTCTTGCTCCCGGTACGCATCTAGCCATTGGCTTTGCTTCCCATTGAGCTCGTGCTAAACGATGCTGTCTAGGTGTCGCTGCCGACATTGGCCACATCAACACCAAGAGCGAGGTACGACACTATTGAAGGCTACCTGCAAATGATGGACTGACATGCAAAAAAAAAGGTCACCGGCCACGAGGCCACTCCCACCGGCCTTGCCGATGCCCTCAAGGACTCCGAGATTGTCATCATCCCCGCTGGTGTTCCTCGCAAGCCCGGCATGACCCGTGATGGTAGGCATTGAAGGCGACAGCAGCTGGTAGCACAGCTAACAAGCGGCGCAGATCTGTTCAACACCAACGCCTCGATTGTCCGCGACCTCGCCAAGGCCGCCGCTGAGCACTCGCCCGAGGCCAACATCCTGATCATCTCGAACCCTGTACGTTGAGGCGAGTGGCGCAGCTGTTCAGACACGATGCTCATTCTTGCAGGTCAACTCCACCGTCCCCATCACGGCCGAGATCTTCAAGTCGCAGGGCGTCTACAACCCCAAGCGCCTCTTCGGTGTCACGACCCTCGACGTTGTCCGTGCCTCGCGCTTCATCTCCCAGCTCAAGAACACCGACCCCGCTATTGAGAACGTCACAGTTGTCGGAGGTCACTCTGGCGCGACTATTGTCCCTCTTCTGTCGCAGTCTGGCTTCAACCTCTCTGGCGAGAAGCTCGATGAGTACGTCAGGCGCGTGCAGTTTGGCGGTGACGAGGTTGTCCAGGCCAAGGACGGTGCTGGCTCTGCTACTCTGTCCATGGCCATGGCTGGTGCCCGCTTCGCCGAGTCTCTGCTCAAGGCTGGGCAGGGCCAGAAGAACGTGATTGAGCCGACATTTGTCGACTCTCCTCTGTACAAGGACCAGGGCTGCGACTTCTTTGCGTCCAACGTAGAGCTGGGCCCCAACGGTGTGGAGAAGATCCACCCCGTTGGCAAGATCACCGACTACGAGCAGAAGCTCCTCGACGCCTGCCTTTCTGACCTGAGCAAGAACATCAAGAAGGGTGTTGACTGGGTCAAGCAGAACCCATAGATTTCACGACATGAAGAAAAAAAATCATGGGTGATGAATGTGTACTAGTATAATGACATGGGGGTTGGGGTCTGATTGGACTGACCGGACTTGGGGGGAATGAATTTTCTTGGTCGTCGAGGAAGCCAGGATCTCGGGCCATGGGAAGGAAATGGGGACGTGTAGATTTTGATGTGTAATTTAGCATGGCAAAATCCTACTCATCTTTGACTTTTGGGTTGAGTGATTTGTTTGGGGACGAGTGTTTTTTGTATTGTTGAAATCTACTAACACATGAAAAGGGGATGACAGGCAAGAGAAGCAGATGGAGGGATGCTCGCTTGATTTTTGAAGACAGAGAAGAAGAAGAAGAAGAAAGAAAAAGCAGCCCATCTATATGTGCTCTATCTAGCGCGTACACATGGTCTATGTATGTCTACAACTTTGCCTTTGCCGCGTCGAGCGTGGGCAGCATGATGTCGCGCATGTCGCCCGCCGCCTCGTTGAGATAGAAGCTCATTTTGTCCTGGAAAGCCATGTTAGCAATTTGGTCTTTTTATTTGGCAACAATGTGCAATGAATGAATGATTGATGGATGGATTGAAGGATTGATGGATTGATTTGTGACTTACCGAGCCCAATCCCTTGGAGCACACGTTGAACTGAATCGAGTTTTCGTTAATCATGTAGGCCAGGCCCCAGCCGTCGTCGACGACCTGGCTCCAGCCGTAGCCATTAAAGTACTCGCTGGAGAGCTGGGAGCTGGAAATGTACCAGGTGGACGAGTAGGCGTATGCGGCGTCTTTGAAGAGGGCAGGCACGTCCTCGCCCGGCTGCAGGCACTTCTTGAGGCCAAACAGGTGGCGGTCGACGCCGCGGCCGTCGCTAGCGTCGGAAATGTACTTGACGTGGGCGTCGAGGGCGGCGCGCAGCTTCTGCTGACACTCTTGGGGCGAAGCGTCCGGGTTGGCCATGGCGTTGCAGAAGGCGACGCTCTCGTCGGACACGGTGCGGCACGTTTCTGTGCGGCCCTGCTGGAAGCGGCGCGTGGCGGCCGACTCGTACGTGGGGCGGTTTTTGCCGTAGAACTTGTGGTAGGCGAGCTGGATAATCATTTGCACGTAGGCGTCGGGGCTGCACTTGAACTTTTTGATCAGGCCCTTGCCGTAGCCCTGGTAGGCCTGCACGCGCAGCTCGTGGGCGCCAATCTGGCGGGCAAAGTGGGCCTGGGCGTCGACAATGTCTTGCTCGAGTTCCTTGGTGAGCTCGAAGCGGAGCGGCTTGGGGTTGGGCAGGTCGGAGCGCACGCTGGGGTCGTCAAAGGGGAGGGCGTTTGAGAAGATTTGTTGGTTTGCGTAGTCGTTGAGGCGGTGCGTCGGGGTGCCGTCCATCATCGAGTGCTCGCCCATGAAGCCAGAGGTGCCGTTGTCGTTGATGATGAATTGGAGCGGCTTGTCGAACCAGCGGTTGGCGCCGTCGCCGTGCCAGTACTGGTGTGCGCGCTCTTCCAGCGTGACGGGCGAAGCATCGTCGAGGCACACGACAAACGAGGCCGACTCAATGTCCTGCAGCGTAGCGGCGTTGACGGGCGAGTGGGCCTTGAGCTTGGGGTACACGTCGGACCACACGTCGCGGTTCTGCGATGTGAGGCTGCCGACAGCGGGCGCCTTCTCGGCGTTGTCGTAGATGCGCTTGAACTGGAGCTCGAACTCGCTGGTGTTGAGCTGCTTGCCGTTGATTTCGTGGGCAACCTTCCAGAACTGGTTTTTCCGCATGACAAGGATGTGCTTGTTCTCCTGGTACGGGAACTTGACGCTCGTGTCGGCGGGCTTCTGGGGGACACGGCAGGCGTTGAACATGTGCTCGTACGAGCTCATGGCCATGGGCAGCTTCTTCATGTACTCGGGCTCGAGGGTGCCCTCGTCGACCATCTTCTTGAACTCGAGCACGGCCGTCGTCATGGCGGCGGCGCGCTTGGCCGGGTTCCGCCTCTTCTTGTCGTCGCGGTGCGAGTAGAAGTAGCTGACGTAGGGCACAACGGGGTCGCGGTAGGCCATGTAGGCCGCCTCGTTCCACCACTCGTAGATCCAGTTCTTGTGCTTGGGGTCCTCTCTCCGCGCCACCAGGCGCTGCTGCAGCTTCTCTCCAGGCCCGCCGGGGGCGACAAACTCGCTGACGGCCTTTGTGGTGGCATCGTATTCGCTCTGGGAGAGCAGCGGGTGGACCGACTTGAGGTAGCGCTTGGCCGTCTCTTCGAGCGTGGGGACTGGGAGACGCGGCAGCGATTCCTCAAAGCGCAGCATGGGCCCTTTGCTGTAATCCTCCTTGTAGCCTTTGCGGGCGTCGTCGTCAGCGCTGGGATAATTTTTGCGCGGGGGGAGGAGCCATATGAGGGGAATAGTGCGCTTACCTGCGGGCAGACTCGACTGCTTTCGTGCGGGCGCCATTGCGACAATCTACACACAGGAAATGGTCAGTACACGGCGCCTTGTATTTTTTTTTCACACCCCGCCCAATGAATCGCTTACTCTGGGTTTTGCAAATGCCTGCTGGGTCAAACGGGGGCTGCGAAGTATCGAGGAGGGTACTCGCGCGCGTGCGGCCCTGCTGAACATGCCAGGTATTATATGGGGGGGGGAGCGACGGGGAAAGGAGAGGGAGATAAAATGACAGGAGATGATATCAGAAGTCCTAGCTTTGGTCAGATCCGAGGCGAAACGAGCACGCGCAGACGCTGCTTTTACTGGGGTGAATGCCGTGAAGAGAGAGGCCACGGGCTTGGGCCGAGGTTGAGCCCCAAACAGGCTAAGCGTAGCCGGCATGGAAGCGTGACGTACTACCACTACCACTACTGCTGGGCGGCTGTGTGCCATCTGACGCCCGCTGGCCCGGTGCCGCCCGCCCATTTTGCATGTGTTTGGATGGATTGCGAATGGGTGTAGCAGTCCAAGACACCAAGACGGCACTGCATCCATCTTCCGTCACGCCGGCGGCAGTCAGCAGCGGTGGTGGTGAGGTCTCGCGGCTGCTCCCCACACCCACGGCGCTCCCCACCACAGTGAAGGGCCATGGCCCGCACGGACGCAGCACGCCGGCAGTATCAGACCAGCCGAGGAACAAGAGCCTTGTCTTCCGGCCGAGCTTATACGGAATACTAACTAGTACGTAACACTGAAAGGTGAAAGGACACTCTTCGCACCCACGTCTCCTTCTAGCAGTACCAGCTCGGCACGTGACGTTATGTACGTGACGTTATGCACGTGACGACTGCACGTGACGGCTGCACGTGACGGCTGCACGTGATCCAGGCTGCATGGCCGACCCCGACCCCGACTCCGAAGCTCCTGAGACTGTCACGGCAAGAGGCCGTCTTGGTTCGTTGCACCATGTCCAAATTATGTAATGTGAGCCCTTCAGACACGTCACGTCACGGCACGGATGCGTCAGTCGCAAAGACAAATGCTCGACAAGGCAGGCATATATTTCCGCTTGCTGAATTCCGGATTCTTCGCAGCCATACGCGGCATGTCGCCAGTCTAGACCCGACTAACCCGCCATCCGTACTGGATGGCACTAATATACAAAGACAAAAGGGATGCCTCCAACACCAATGCTAGATGGATCCCACCCTGCACTCCTGTGCAAACTCAGATACAAAAGAGAGAAGGAAAGAAAAAACAGGTGGCAGACAGCCGGAAAGAACAAGATCCGGTCTGGCATGAGAGGGGTATACAGATGAAGAGAAGAAAAGGTGGTGCTCCAACGGTTGCGAAGACCACGGCCGCATTGAGCATCGTTGCGACCCAGACGTTTTGGGCTTCGGCGCGCAAGGCGTCGGCACGTGTTACGATGGATATCCGGCCTGTCACATGTTTCGTTGGCGGGCTCGGTGCGCACATGTCCATCATGTCAATGTCGACGAGTCTAGTACTCGGTCCAGTGGCACTTCTCGCCAACCTTCTCAAACTCCATGTGGCGGTTCATCCGGCGGCGCGCGCGCTCTTCGCGGCCGAGACAGCAAAAGAGACGTGCGAAGCCGCTGCGCTTCCGTGGCTCGAGGCCCTCGAACGGGTTCTCCTTGTATGGCGAGCTCGACGTCGACGACACAGGGCTCAGCGGGATGGTGGCCTCGGCGAAGATGTCCCTCTTGGGCGCCGGCTTTTCTGAGTTGGCCGACAGCGGCGACGATGCATGTGGCTTGTCCAAGGGAAACGATGTGTCGAGTGGAGACAGTGTCTGCATGTGGCGGTTTGCGCGCGGCGAGGCTGGGAGGCCACCAAAGGGTTGGGAAGACATGACGAAGTGATGGCAGCTGCTTTTCTTTTTCTTTTCTTTTTGGCGATGCAGTGAAGGTCGAGCGAGGCCAAGTGTCTGTGTTGTGGCGTGTGCGTAGGCCCAGGAACGACAAAAGGAGTCGTCTATACAGTAATATATACACACACGACAGGCGGTGCTTCTGCGGGAGCAATGGGAAAGGAATGGATGATGTTGGTATGGCGTGGGAACAGATAGGCCAACGACGGGGGGAGCAGGCGTATGTTTATGTCGATCAAGCACCCAGCGCGGCCGCGCAATTCCATCTGACCTGAGCCCAGGGGCTTGCATGGCATGTCGAGCTCGCGCTCTCGCTCTCGCTCTCGCTCTCTCTCCACGCCAAGCCTGGCTGCCAGGGGGGCGGGGCTGAGAACACCCGCGTTTAAACTTTTTCCAACGCGAATGCCACACTCGTGCAGCCGGCTCACGGTGCCATCCGCCATGCATTTGCTCATGCCCTTTTTTTGACGCCTCTTCCTTGTCCTCGCCCTCGTCCAACCCGCAGCCCGCCTTATTGCTGCTGCTGCTCTGCCTGTCGCATCCGGCCCACCACCACGCGCACACTGCACCGCGGCAGCCACAGGGCGGGCGTATGGGCGGCGCTGGCCCATCAGCTTCTGAAACTACGCCATCTCTCGTTGCGGCCACGGCTAGTCCTCAGGCTGCTCGTCATCTGAGGGGCATGCGTCGACGTCCCCTATTAGCGTCGTCGAGAGTCAGCGAACAGGTTCCTGGGAAACGAGGCCCTGCTGTTGGCCGTCGTCGTTTTGTTTTTGGCCGCTGCACTCCTTGAAACACCGCCAACGTCGCATGAATGTTGGAAACAAAAGCGACGGTCCGCCCGTCACGCGATTATGACCGCCCCATCCTGCTGCCCTTAACAAGTCGCCTATTTCCCTATGTTTATGCGCAGCAGTTGCAGGATTTGTCTTCGCCCGCCGTGCCGCACGCCGTCCAACGTCTTGCGATTGACATGCCGCCATGCACTCAAGAGTTGGGCCTCGCCAACCACACTTGTGACACGCCTGCTGCGTGCGCTTGTTATCAGAACTGTCAAACCACGTTGGATTGACTTTCAAAAGGCCCGGCTGCCCACCAAGTGCTGACGGGGGCTGCCCGGTACAACTGCCCGTGCACTATACCTGTCAATCTACCATCCCGGCACTTCCCTGCCGCACGGAAACTCCTGGACGTCGGTTATCTTGCTGCAAAGAAGCCTATCGCCAGTGCCGTCATGGCTGACCACGAGCATGCGCCTTGGGCTGCTGCATGAATGCTGAGATGAAGACTCTATCTCGTGCAATGCCTCTCCACACGACCAAGCTAGCCGTTCTTTTTGCAATTTATCCACGTCTTCTTACAGTCCGGCCTGGAGCGGTGCATTTGCGGCACAGAACAACTGCCGCGTCAATACGTGTATGCGAAGGGGTGATCATGTCTGCATTTTGCACCGCGCTTGTATACACCCGGACGGCGCAGCACTATGTATGTAAGCTTGTTGGTCATGTTAGCTGCATGCATCGATGCTTACCCCAAACAAGCAACACTGTTGATGCCAGATAACCACAGCAACGGCAGGGGAGCAGGAATTATCGAAACATGTTGGTTCTATCACTTCCACCACTCGGCTCGACCCTGACCGACAAGGCTTTGAAAGCCACTATACCACTTACGCTAGTCCGTCACTGTACGCCACACAATTAATCCACTCGACTATATCCCATAATCACAGCGCCATAATCAATGGGAAACGCCCTGCGACTCGTGCTCTCGCAAATGCCGGACATCCAGAAAAAACGCCACCTTGTCTCGTTCCGGACAGTCACATGCTTCGGACAATTATATACTAGAGTAAAACTACAGTGAAACCAAGGCTTGAATATCTGTGTATAAAAGATACTATGATTATAATACGTGGGTGGAGTAGCTTGTTTCACCCACGATTTGGTGAAAGTGAACGACTCGACTTGCCGGTACGGCTAACTCACCCGTCATGTACGTTGTCCATTGGAATCAACTAGGTACGTAAACTACTCGCCATGTGGGAAACTCTCCCGTGGTATACGTTGTCCATTTGAATCAAATCGCGTGCTGAAATGACTCGCTGCGTAGTATGTATGGCGCGTACAGGTATATGTAGGCTACAAGCGCAAACACTGATGCTTTGGAAATTGAACAATATGAGGAGCTTGTAGTTTGATGTTCGCATTTATCCGTAGAGCTCTATAGCATGACACTACAACGCAGCAGAAGTCGATAGTATGCTCTTGATGATTGAAAACTACCATGTGTAGTATTGGTCGTTTCGGTTATGTATCTGGAATTGGAATATTTCCATGCTTGTAGTGGATACTGACAACAACCACTATTCAAGTTGGCACTCAGGCCTCTCTTGTTCTCCTCATGCTGCTATACCAAAAATTGTTGCCTCTAAACAAGGAACTTAACCGCCGTCCTGGATGCGTTTGTCTAATCTCGATGTGTACTTGCGTTAGTGACAAGGAAGAACACATAATCAGCTACATTGGTAACTACTACAGCATCATCTACTATTATTCCGTATCATCGTGGCTGTATTTGGTCTGGTAGGGCCTTCTACCCTTGTTCACGAGGCGAGGGAATGAGTATAAATACTGCAATCTTCATACCCAGTGATGTTAACACCCACAAACTCAGTAACATCACATTCCTAACCTTCCCCATTGACGCTATCGCCCAAACCAAGCCTCAACATGCGATTCCAGATGAGATCTCTCCTCGCTACTAGCATTTTAATCTATCAGTAGTTTCAGGCTTAGCAACAGCTCCGCAGATTCGCACGGCTACATGCACGGGAAGCCAGATATGCGTAGGCTTGGAATTCGCATAACATACGCTACAAGGCTACGAGATCAACAGCTAGTGCACGGGAAGCTATCCCATATTACTCTTGGTTGAATCAGAGCTAATTTCGCGACTTGTGACTGATGCGATCTAGTTCCAACAAAGACGTATCCTAGATTGCTACCAGTCAATACGCGGCTACACTTGGTGAAGATACGATCCAAACCTCATGGCTTCCACAAACTCTTCGTCGCTCACTTGCCTATGCGTACTTCGATGATAGGCCACTCTGCTTTAATCATTAGTTAGTTCCGAAAATGCATGCCTGACTGCACCCGACCCTGCAACACTCGCCTACGACATCGTTCAACTAGCACTGGCCTCCCGGTGGCCTGTCGAAAACATTGGAAAAGCCGCAAATTCAACCACCAAAGCAGAAACATGATGAAAATACTCGAAATTAACAGCCCGCCTCCTCTGCCGCCATTTTCCGGGAAACGTTCAGTCCATATTACGTACCAGTGTTTCACATGCAGCTTCATTTGGTCTAATATCCCATTTAATGCATGGTTCCCGCCACCAACACCGCCACTATTACTATGACGAGGGGTATGCAAACATATATGTAAGAACAAACAATATTTGTGCCGCACCGGTGATATATTCGCCTTATCCTGGGTTATATTCGGACGAGGAGGCGACGAGGTAAGCTCTAGCTTCTCACCATCTGTCATCTCAGACAGTGCTCTTCACCAACATGTTTCACGTGCTACCCATGTCCCGTTTTGAGCTAGCTTGGGATGGGAAAAACCCCCGAACACTTATTCACAGATGCAAGGCGTCTGCCTTTTCACAAACCAGTATGCGCTTTGGATTTGGAGATGTGCAGCAAGCCAAGGTCAAACTAACACAGCACTGCATCTTGTGAAATCGATGGAACCAGTACGAAATGACGGTATACGTTACTGCTACTACCATTTCCATTCTAGCCATGTTGGTCATAATGTGGAATCTAAACGCGATGCTGCATCCACGACCGAAGTTTGTATTACATCCACCAGCTATGTGACTGGTGCTCGCGACAACACCTCCTCGGCGCCACCCAAAGCCAAGGTAGGAAAACAATCGTAACCAGAACACGTTGCGCACAGTAAGGCCAAATGCATGCAGCTTTCCATGTCTTCGCATCGCCACTTTCTGTCCTAGTCCCTCACAAACTGCACAATGTCCATGTAAGCCGCGGCTGAAACATACCAAATTAATATGAAGCAGGATAACAAGGTGAATAGAACGCTAGACTCTCCACTGGAGTACCCCGCTGCGCTTCTTAAGAGCCGTTTCCATCGTCCAGAGTACCTCTACACTGTCGTCGACGGAGCACAGCATCTCGATGAATGCGACAATGGCACCCTCGATGTCTTCACCAAGGCCGGTATCGAAGCGCATTTGTCACGCAAGAAGGACTGCAATCTCAATGGTCTCGTATCGACATATGAAGACGAAAAGATAGCACTGAAGCGCGGAAAAGGGGAGAATTCAGTCAAACTGATACTGAGGACGAGTGGCTTAGTGCCAGCATGGCTAACAACTGGAGATATCAAAATCCCCATCTGGGTTTCTCAGAAAACCGAGGGAAGCCCCCGCGTGAAACACGCACAGCCCAACGTGTGGATTTGTCTCGACGAAGCGAAAGTCGTACTGGACATACCTGATCATCTCTGCGACAAAGGCGAATGGCTCGTTCATGGCCATTCAATCAAGCAACGAGCCGCCGAACGCATCGCAACACAACATTCCCGGATACCAAAGCGCAATACAGACGTGGAAGCATATGGCGTCTTTGACGACGAAGAAAGAGAAGGACAAGACAAGCGCTCAAACCGAGAACAACACCACCTGGTCGAAGACAAACACACAGAGAATCCAAGTACAAAAGACACATCCTACTTCCTCGAGGAACCCTGCATTCCCACGCGCAAATCCTCCCTAAGGAGCCTCAAGCCTAAACCCAGTAACCCCCCGCCCACCGCCACCACGCAGAGCCCCCAGCTCCGCCTCGCAACGCGCAACGCAACAATCACGCTTACAAACGCTGACCAGTCGCACGCTGCGTCACTGATGAAGTACGCTCTGCTAATGGCATATGGGAAGAAGCCAGAGGCAGAGGAAACATGGCCCCTCGACACGTCTTCTATATCGAGTCTCTCATCACCAGGCGCGAGAAGCGAGAACGAAGACGGGGAGAAACAAGTGTGGTGCGAAAATCTGGAGGTGAATATCGATGTAGACATGCAGAGCGAGGTATCAACAACAACATCATCATCTCCTCATCATTATTATTATTGTTCCATTAGAGTCTAGTGAGCTCGAGGCTATGTAAGACTTTGGCCGAGGCCGTTCTAACTAGATTTATTTACAAATACGAGTTTGTGCTTGAAGTGTGTCTGTGGTGCTTCGGCCT